CAAATTAGAAATAATTACTTATTCTTGTCCCTTTTCTCGGCTCTATACAAAACATAAAATTAAATAATATGATTAAATTTGTGATATATAATATGCTTATGAATAATAGCACAATAAGGGAAAAAGGGAATAGTTTTAAACAGAAGTAATAGTAACTTATTATCTTTGGAATGACTTTAGCAAAAATCTTAAATAGACCCTATAAAATGAAGATCTATATGGGAAGCCCTAGAGTAGCTACCAAGAAAATACTGTTAAAATATATAATAACTAGGTGTATCTCAGCGATAAAGCACTTGCCTAGCATGCATGAGGTCCTGGGTTCAATCCCCAACATTGCCAAAAACAATACATATATGTAAAATATAAATGTAACACATGTGTAAATCATAAAGGAATTAAAATAAATAAAATAAACTGTTACACTAGAAAATAGTCATTTATTGCAAAAGGAAAAAAAAAAAAAAAAAGAACAAAAAGACAGGGACACACAGGGAAAATGGCATTAAAACAAAATGCATAAATCCATCCAATTCCCTAGGCTCTGCTTCAAGTCTGTGCACGCTGGAATAAAAACCTCCCACACAACCCTGCCACCCAGGTGCTCCTCAATACCAGGTAGGATTTTGGATGTCCAACATGGTAAAACCCCCTCTTTACTCTTTTCAAGACATGTAGATCATGAGATCCTCCTCCACCTAAACTTCTGAGAGGGGTGTGTGACCCAAGCATGATAAATTTCTCATAGTCCCAGCCACTGTGAACTTGCTCAGTCTCGGAGATAAGGATATATCTGAAGATGTGCCAATCAGCACCTGCCTTGGGACTTTTAACTGAAACCAACAGGAAGGAATCATGAATTAATTTTTACTTAGATCACTGTGAGAACATGAGACCTAAAGTGACAGCATTCACCTCTACTATCACATGCCTGCCTGAGAGAAACCATTACACAGAAAAGATACACCAAGGATCAAATAAGGCCAGAAGTTCTGAATTACATATGCAAGTAAAAAATTAGTTCACAGGACAGGGGATGCTGCTCAGCGGTGGAGCACTTGCCTGGATATACCAACATTCTGGGTTCGATCCCTAGCACTGCAAAAAAGAAAAAAAAAAATCAGTTCAACTTCAGTTTCTCTTGCCCATAAAGTTTCTTAACAAGTACACAGAATTTACACCTCCCTTATTTAAAATCCTTAAATAATTCCCTATCACATTAACATTAGAGTCCAAAGACCTTATTTACCAATAAACTCTACCAATTTTGGCCCATAGATTATGTGATAACATAAAAATCAACTTTTGCATGAGAAAACACCGTAAGCAAAGTAAAAAAAAAGTGAAAAAACAAAACATATGTAAAGAATTCCCAGTACCCCTCAAAAAAAATGAGCAAAAATCTGATCAAATGTTTTATAGGGGGAAAAAAAACACTAATGGCATTTAAACCTATGAAATTATGCTCAACTACACTTATAATAAAAGGATATAAATTAAACCAACACAGAAATTTCATATCCGTCTATACGGCAAAAATCCAAACCCAAAACGTTTGCCTACTATTCCATGAGCACGGCCATGGAGGAACAGGCATTCTCATGAACTGCTAGAGTGATGCTAACTGGACAGCTCCTAAGGAAGGGAACCCCTCTGAAGAGGAGGCTAGCTGTGACCCAGCAATCTGGGTGAAACCTATAACAAAGACGAACTAATGAAAACACAAAAATTCTATGCATAAGGGTACTTACTGCAACACTGTGTAACAACAAAGGACTAGAAATAATAAATGGCCATCAATAAAGCTCTATTTGAAAGAACTATGGTACTTTCATGAAGCGTACCACGCAGCTACAGAATGGGATGAAAAAACTTCTCCACATACTACTACGGAATGACCTTCAGGATACAAACAGTAAGTGTGGCATACAGAGTTGTGTCTGGAACATTACATCTAAGAAAGAGAGGGAAATGTGTGTATGTGTGCATGTAAGTGCGTAACATGGTACGTGACATAAATATGCATGTATGATATAAATATGCATGTGTGATGCACATACTTACATACTCACATATATGCACTTCCCATACATCCAAAGAGAGAGATCACACACATACAAATACACCCATAAATATCACATTCATGGCACTTTTTGCTTGCATTTTCAAAAATAATCAATAAAAAGAAGCAAAATTAATTCTAAGATAAATGAGCTAATTTCTTAAAGAAAATGTGATTTTCAAAAAGAAAAATTTGTTCTAATACTTATAAGAGTATCAAAAGAAATCCTGAGTCAAACAAACCAAATATAAAAAGGCATTTTTTTGAAATAACTAGAGAAAACTGAATATGTACTAGGCATTACATGATATAATTCTTGTGCATTTTGCTGAGTGTAAGGGTGGTATTGTAGATACTTTCTTTTTTTAAGTTTCTTTTTTTTTTTCCTAGAGAGAGAGAGAGAATTTTTTTTAATATTTGTTTTTTAGTTTTCGGTGGACACAACATCTTTATTTTATTTTTATGTGGTGCCAAGGATCGAACCCAGTGCCCCACGCATGCCAGGCGAGCGTGTTACCGCTTGAGCCACATACCCAGCCCCAAGTTTCTAACTTTTAATCAAGAACAGAGTTCCTTCTTTTCTTTGAAATAGTGTTTATTTATTAAAATAAACTAGGTTATTTACCATACAAATTACCCAAGTGTTGTTTTAGCCCTTATCTTTCTGGTGAACTGGTAATTAGATCTAGAAGCTTGTACAGATCCAGATTCCAGGGCTGGGGACATGGCTCAAGAGGTAGTGCGCTCACCTGGCATGCATGTGGCCCGGGTTCGATCCTCAGCACCACATACAAACAAAGATGTTGTGTCCGCCAAAAACTAAAAAATAAGTATTAAAAAAATTCTCCCTCTCTCCCTCTCTCTCTCTCTCTCTCTCTTTAAAAAAAAAAAAACAGATCCAGATTCCATTTCTTTAGCAAGAATGTTCCTTAGGCAGTGCTTTATACGCATTGGACTCCATTAGGAGGCACATACCTGAATGTTCCACTTTGGCAATAAGTTGAGATACCTACTGAAATACAGATCAAATTATATCTAAGACTTGGTATAAAATAACCCAGCAAAGCAACAACAAAAAACTATGGAGAGATATAAAATTAAAATGGCAGCATGTTGAGAACTATTGAAGATAGGTACTTAAGAGTTTTATGTATATCCCAAATAATATTTTTTTTTAAAATGTGGGTCTTACTTAAATCTCCAAAAGCCTCTGCTATCACATAACACAAACCCAATACTCTGGCCATACTAAGTCAAATGGTTTCTCAAGCACAGCACAGGATTTTGACATGCACAGCTCCACACATCCTAGTCCTGTTGCCCACAATGCTCTTGTCTCTTTGGACCTACAAACACTTCCTCATCTGTGCAGGTTTGGTTCAGCGAGTACCTCTCTCAAAAAAAAACAAAAAAAAACCTCTCTAACCTCCAGTCCTACACCAAGCTGGCTCTCCCTACAAACCCAATCCTAATTCCAACAATGTGGGAACTTCTTACCTGTCCCTGCAACTAGACTTCCAATGCCTGGACCACTGCAGTAAGTAGGTCTGCATTGACCTGCACAGACAGTGAAGCTGTCAGGGAAAGGTTGAGGGAAAGACTCAGGGTGAACATACTACACCACGTGGAGAATGGTAAGGAGGCAGGTACAAAGCCTCAGTTTCCAGAGCAGGGGGAAGAGGCAAAGTTCAGAAAAAGACAGACCCAGGAAACTATCAAAAGGAGTTTCAAGGCTCAGCAGAATCCTTATTACCAGAAAAATGCATGGACCCCAGCTGTGCATCTCAGTGGGGAACCCAGGTCAGCACTTTTAAAACCTGGAGACCTCTTTTAAGATGCAGATTCAGGGGCTGGGGTTGTGGCTCAGTGGCAGAGAGCTTGCCTCCCACATGTGAGGCACTGGGTTCAATCCCCAGCACCACATAAAAATAAATAAATAAAATGAAGGAATGTGTACATCTACAACTAAAAAAAAATTTTTTTTAAAATGCAGATTCTGGGGCTGGAGATGTCGCTCAGTGGTAGAGCGCTCACCTAGCGTGTGCGAGACTGTGGGTTCGAGGCTGGGGGTTTGATCCTCAGCATCACATATAAATAAAGGTATTGTGTGCAACAACTAAAAAATAAATAAACATTTTAAAAAATGCAGATTCTGACTGAGTAGACCTATGACGAGGTCTGAGATTCTGCATTTGAGGGCACAATGATGCTATTCACCTACAAATCACACCGTTTAATCAGAAGACTGTAAGAGCCTGCAAAGTCAGCCTTTCCCCAATGAACATGGAGGGCCCACTCCTGTCTTATTAATCCTCTCTTTAGCTTACACATTTTGTGCCATTAAAAAAACAAGAGCAATTAAAGGAACAAACAAAAAAAAATCAAAATTCTTAATTCCTCTTTGTCTGCTGGCACCCTTCTTCTAACACCTAACTACCCCACTGTGGCGACATGGGGTCTCTTATTCATTCAATATCCCAGGCCTAGAAAATATAGGACCTCATAAATGCTTGTTAAGTGATGCTCTAAGTAATAACCTCCCTCAATATAGTCACTCTCCCCCTCCTACTTCCCTGGTCTGTCCTTCCCAGCTGAACATCAATCCCTTGAAGACAGATTCTTCCCTGGGTTCTGTGGCACACCATCTGGCACACATTGGTCCTTAGTCAAATGTCTGCTGAACAACTGAACCCACAAGCACCCTACATCCAGGTTCAAGAAAACCCTGCAGGAGGACATATCTTGAATCTTTTTTCTGAAGGACTCAAAATGCTCACAAGTATGACTCATTCTCACAACAGTTAAGCAAATCACAATGAAAGGAAGATCCCCTCAATTTAACAGGTAAGAAAATGGCACAAGAGGGTTATATATACATATTATGCTGCTTCTCAGACAACCTCGTCAACAAAGGAAAAAACATTTTAGCAAACAGTACCTCAGTCTTTCCACATTCATCAGGCGGATCCTGGTGTATGGCCATTTGATACTTGACATATAAAGAAAAGGACTGGCTGAAGGACGACTTGAACTCTGGGTCCTCAAAGGAGACAGGTACTAACCTCACCTTCAGAGCAAGGAAAATACAAGCAAATGCTATTGAAACACCTCCAGCTGATGATGTGCTTCTGAAGGTGAGGCTAGAGTAAGATCTCCGCAAATCCACTTCCAAAGCTCAGCACTGGAATTTCTCATAAAAACAAGATCCTCTGGAGTAGGCTGACTGGCACCCAACCTAAGTGTCGACTGTGCACTAATGCCATGACCAACTCGCAAAAGGCCAGGACAGTCTGTCTTTGTTTCACTCTGGTTCTCTCTGTACCGGTCAACTGCAGCTCTGTGTGCACTAATCAGCACTGCTGCTGATCGTGGCCATGGCCACCACTTTTGCACCCTCACTTATGTGAAGTGGTTTAAGCTTGCTTTCCCTTCCAGATTTTTCTTGGGTCATTTGATTTACAAAATTACAATAAGGTTATGAGGACATCCATTGAAACACTGAGTTTTCCAGCCCCACTCAATTGTGCATGGGTAGCACATTAACATAATAATTTAGCTATGACTATTTCTACAGATAACTTTTAAATATGGATAAAGCACACTAACCATGTTGGACAACACATGTCTAACATAGAAATATATTTTTCTCAGTTATTTCACCTTAGAGCTCTCTCACTTTCAGGTAAATGCATCCAGATGTAGTGACTTTATATAAACTTTACATGTTACTTTCCACTTTGAAATTACACATAACTGGCACTTGACATGACACTGGGTACCATTTGCACTTTCAGAATGTCTACTAAGTCAGTCTTATCTCTGTACAGATAAGCTGCAAACTGAATATAAGTAAAATGTACCACAAATAAATCAAGATTTCATACATGATACCAAATAAAGGGGAAAGTTCTGTTTGCACAGAAAAATGACAATTGCCCTGCTGACCTGGCTCACAGTTGGTTTGTCAGGTGGGTCCTTGTGAATAACCATCTGGTAACGTTTATAGACCTGGTAAGACTCCTGAAATGTGGCTTTGAACTGAGAACTTGGTGGAGATGATCTCACCACCCTCACCTTCAGAAGGAGTTAAAAAACAATGTTCATTAATTAATTCATTTATTCATTCTGTAGAATATGCATTAGCAATAATTCCCACACCACAAAAAAAAGTTTCAGCAAATATTAAAGCATAAATATAAAAATCATGAACATTATGAAAAAAATCAACTAGTTAATAAAGAAGTGATTTCTGCAAGTTCTACACTCCTTAAACTGACAGAGGAGGATTCCTCTGAGCTCTAAGCCTCACCTCCGATGGCTGAACATGTGAGCCTGTGTACTGCACACAAGCAGGATTCTTCTAGCACTCATAGCAAAAGCACAAATACACACTCCTTAATGTTAACTGTAAACAAATCGCCATCAATAAGTCAGTCGGAAAGACTGAAACTGTGAACATATTTTTTGAACATTTTCATTTATCATTTCTAACTTTAAACTTACAACTCCGTTAAATAAATAAAAACAATAATCCTCATAAAGCTTTCCTTCATAGCCTGGTAAAAAGGAAGACTCTGAAATTAGACTTCTTTTGCTCAAATCTCACATTGTCACCATCTTGGTCAAGGAAATTAACCTCTCTGTGACTTAGTTTTCTCATATATAAAATGAGGATGAATTAAAAGCAGTAATTGAATATGGTAATGGCTAATATATATTTTATCATTAATTATTTACTAACCAGTTAAAAGTATTAGCAAAGCACAACAATAAAACAAAATCAAATGCAATATAATAAAGCCATAACTGTTCTTGAGTGCCATGAGAAGTAATTCCTACATGAAGAGAGTGACATCCAGTGGATAACCAATCTCTATACATCCTGGGACCCATGACACTAAAAAAGCAATAGTGGGCTGGATGTGGTGGTGCATACTTGGAATCCCAGCTACTTGGGAGGCTGAAGAAGGAGGAACAAAAGTTCGAAGCCAGTCTGGGTAACTTTGGAGATGGTATCTCAAAAAAAATGTTTAAAAGGTGGAGAGGGGGGACTGAGGATGTAGCTCAGTGGTAAAGCACTTACCTAGCATGTGCAAGGCCCTTGTGTTCAAACATTAGTGCCACAAAAATAAATAAATAACTGAATGAATGAATGAATGGCTGGGGATGTCGTTCAGTGGCAGAGCGCTTGCCTTGTGTATGTGCGGCCCTGGGTTCCATTCCAAATACAAAAAAAGAAGCAAAAGTTTATGCTTATAGAACTGTTATATGAGGTATGGTTGATTCCCTGAATATATTACTATTTATAATCAAAAGATAAAGTCTCTTTATAATGTCTCTTTATAAAATATTTTAGGTAGTGTACTCAACTCTCTTTACAATTGATTTTGTGGAGAAAAATCAATACCAAAATCAGAGTTATAATAATCAAAGTTATTAAAATAAAATTTAAGTTTGATAATACATATATTGCCCTAAGGTTTAGAATGCATCAAAGCCAGTCTTCAGTATTAGGTTAAACATTAAGTGATATTCTTAGATGATATTAAGTTATAAATTCAAAGGCTGATTAGTTACTAATCAAGTATGAGAATATATAATGAAATCATTACAGTAAATGTCTTAGAGATTTATCTATTTGTGTACTTGGAGATAGGTCTCTCTATGTTGCCCAGGCTAGCTCAAACTTTTAATCCTCCAGCCTCAGCCCCATCCCCAGCCACCAGAGCAACTGGGATTACAGGCACATGCCACTGTGCCCAGCTGAGAATTTTATATAAGTGAAATTAATACTAACAAATCTGAAATTGATCTAGAAATGTAAGTCAATTTGGAAAAAAAGAGAATTTTAGCTCTAAAACATTCATATCATGCCTAAATTGATTGGGACTACTTAACGAGCAAGGAATTTTTCAGTGTAACTTAATACTGCTTGGTTGATTCCCAACTGCTGGCTTGCATATATGACACTGATTGATGTCTTCATCAGATCAGAATACTCTAACAGGTAAAACAGTGATTTTCCTAGTGTGATCTAGTCTCTTACTATCTAAACTACCTTTTGCTATCTAAATTTCTAAAATGAAATTCTAAAGAGTATTTTTCTTTTTTTTTAAACTACTTAATTTCAAAGGATACAAAAACCATAACAACATGCTAAAACTGGAATAATTTTCAGAATTTTAGTAGCTGGTTGCCTCAAATATTTTCAAAAATTTTTTTTGAAGAAGTGAATATTTCTCTCAAATAGTAGCTAACTTAGTAAACCCCAATTCTCCTTCATTTCTCATAATATAAAATATCAAAATATAGGCAAATAATTTCAAAGAAAATAAAGTACCCAAAAACAAACAAACATCAACAAATAAAAAAACCTCCAAAATACCTCTAACTTGTGTGACGCATTCTCTGGCAAAGATTCAAAAATTAAATCTTCAAGTGATTTGGGCTGGTTGGATTTAGCCTTTGGTGGGAACAAAGATGGTGGCTGACCTTGAGCCTGGAAACCCTCATGTTCTCCAGCTGGATTTTGCTGCATGAGTTTTAACCTTTTTCTTTCTTTCCGGATTTCCTTTGCTTTTCGACATGGAGGCTTACTCAAATCAGCCCCTTTGCCTAAAAAGAGTTTCAAAATATTAGACCAATCACACTTGGCTCTAAAAATGTTTTTTCAAGAATCTCAAAAATTCTACACAGTCCCAAGAGTTCTAACAGTTAAGTTAGTTCTGGGGAAGAGGCTCTAGGTTCAACTTGCAATTCTACCTCAAAAGCAAGAATTGCCAAAAAAGGAAAGTGTCACCGAAACTTTTCAAGGCAGTTCTTACTATTGAAAAATCTCTTAAAAATACCATCCATTTCTCTGCCTTTGTAAGTAGAAAGAACATATCCAATCAAATATCTTCTGCTTGTTTAACCCACATTTCTAGAGGCAATTCCTGACAGCACTGATGACAGTGGATGAATAAATGAATGAATGACAGAATTAGAATATATAATTAATAAACAGATTTAGGTACTGAGCAGCTATGACTATTAACACTAAGAAAAGAGAGGCACCCATGGGGCTGGGGCTGTAGCTCAGCGGTAGAGTGCTGGCCTCACACGTGTAAGGCATTGCGTTCGATTCTCAGCACCACATGAAAATAAATAAAGATATTGTGCGCGTTCATCTACAACTAAATAAATATTTAAAAAAAAAAAAGAGAGAGGCACCCAGACATTTATATCTTCTGAAAGGTAATTCAATGACCCATAGAGTAACCTTAACAAGCCTCAAATAAATAATATCCTAAGATGATTAAAACTTCCCCCCTTCAAAAGAACAAAAGAAAACTAGCCCTGAACTTGGTTAAAAGTTCTAGATCCAACTATCAATTTATAGGTGGCCAAAGAACAGTTAAACTACATTTGCAGATATGATCAGTAAGTTACAAAGAGTGGGACAAACAACCCACGAAAAACAACTCACTTTCTTCAACAAGTAATAACCTGAAAGTTAACAAAGGGGAACAATAGAAGAGAAACCTACAGTTCAAAAAAAGATTTTTTTAAATGCATCAACCAGTTGTGTTGGAATCATCTGACTCTTGACACAAACCAATATTTAAAAACTGGAATTTTGAACACTGAATATTCAATGGCATTATGAAATTTTACTTAGGTGTAATAATGGTATTGTGAATATATTTTTTTCAAGTTCTTATCTTTTAGAGATGAATTCTAAAGAATATGGCATAGTATCTAAAATTTGCTTCAGTATGATACTAGGAGGAGGAACTAGATTTGGGCAGAGATAAAACATAGTGACTGTAATGAGTAAAGAACTATATCAAACAAGGACAGGGGACATGACGTTCATTGTACTATTCTATCTACACTGGCCTACGTTTGAAATCCTCTGTAATGAAAAACTTTTTAGAAATTTAACTAGCTATAAGTAATATTTATAAGAAGAAATAAATAGCCAGGCATGGTGGCACACACCTGTAATCCCAGTGGCTCAGGAGGCTGAGGGAGGACGATCATGAATTCAAAGCCAACCTCAGCAAAAGTGAGGTGCTAAGCAACTCAGTGAGACCCTGTCTCTAAATAAAATACAAAACAGGGCTGGGGATGTGGCTCAGTCCCTGGTACCAAAATAAATAAATAAATAAATAAATAAAAGAGCTGACCCTGTACAACACAAAAGAATTAGGGTTGAAAGAAATTCTCTAAACATAATATTTCATTGGACTATTTTTATTAATTAGGATGAAATCTTAGACTAACATCAATTTAAATATCATGAATGACTTTTTTTTTTTTTTTTTAGTTTTTGGCAGACACAACATCCTTGTATGTGGTGCTGAGATTTGAACCCAGGCCACACACATGCCAGGCAAGCGCGCTACCGCTTGAGCCACAGCCCCAGCCCCTATGAATGACTTATGTAAAAAATATTTTAAAAGTGCCACTGGAAAGTTCTCTGCACTTAGACTTCTATAACATAATTTGGAACCAAACAAAAAAATTCTAATACTAAAAGAATCACTCCTGGCATCATTTTGAATGAATAGAAATTAATTCAAAAACTATCCAACTTCATATTTTATGAAATAATTTTGAAAAAGTCATATATATATAGGTAAAAAACCCATTTAATAGTGTGTGATTTTTTTTTTTAGTGTGTGAATTTTTTAAACCTAACTTTTTTTATAAATGAGAACATAGGAAAAAGTCTTACCTTATTAAAATTAAGCATGAAAATAGACTTTTAAAATGAAAATGAATTATAACTGTATTAAAAATTTGAAATGATAAACTTAAGAATTTCAAAATATCTGCATTTTGGACATAACACCTATAATCTCATTTTTCTAAAAATAACCGTTTATTTTTTATCACCATATCTTTTCTTTCTTTCTTTTAGTTGTAGATGGACATAATACCTTTACTTTATTTATTTGTTTTCATACGGTGCTGAGGATCGAACCCAGGGCCTCGCACGTTGAGGCGAGTGCTCTACCAATTGAGCCAGAACCCCAGCCCTCACCATACCTTTTCATTAACAAAAATCTAATTCTCAAGCCTCTAAGGTTATAATGTAATGAAAAAGAATTCTTGAAATGTCTGTATTTGGGGAAAATAAGGATATTATTTCAGGATTTTAAGCACAATGGTTTAAAAAGACATGATTTGTTCATCTAAATATAGGTAGTCTCTTCCAGTATAAAACAGGGCTCTATGTTACAGATGCCATGAAAGCCAAGCATCACAGTGACTCAAGTGAAAAGAAAAGCAGTTAATATGACTTGATATCAAATGTTCATTACCTGGCTTAGGAACAGTATGAACTTTAATTGAATGTGATGGTTGACCAGAGCCCAACTTCTCTTCTATAGCTTGTGAATGAATTGATTCATTTGATTCTTCCTTCTTTGAGTTTTTTTCTTTCTTCATCTCTTCATTCTCTAAGCTCTCTTTGAGGTCATCACTGAGAGTTTTAAGATCACACTTTATATCCAATTTATTTATTAATGCAAAGTCACCTGCAACAGCATCCTCCACTGTGGAATCCATGGGCTCATCTAAAAGCCAGAAGAAAAGAAAGCCCATCGGTTGGGGTCATTTGACATGGCCAAGATAAACCCAGAACTATAATGCCCCTATTTCCAGCATAGAGAAACTACTGTGTATCCACCAAATCCATTCTCCTCCTTTCAAAGCAGGAGAGCTGTCCTTGAAATCATGGTGCCCCGACAGAAGGCACTGCCCATCACTCTTCAAGTTGTGACCAAATTCCCAACAACAAAAGACCTAATTTTGTCTCACTTAAAGGAAAACTGTGACCTAGGACTTCTATCTTTACCCATCTCTCTGGCTGGGTTAAAAAAAACAGAGTGACCTGGGAAATCAAATGTTGAAGTGAGTCCCAGAATGGCCAAGGGGGAGCAAAGCTCCAGTTCTACCCAGAACACCACAATGGACGTGAAGGAAGAAACCGACTGCCAGCACTGTGTAGCCACTGGGTTTTGGTGTCTTTTTGCCACAGCTGTTTAGGCTTTTACCCTAATGAGTGCATCATTCCTTGAATTAAGTTCCAGACATAAATAATTTAGAAGCTCGAAACAAGACAAATAAAGAGCCAAATGCAAAAACTATGTAAAAAGATGCAACCATCAATTTACAAAGGGACAGCATCCTCAAAGCTTATCTACATGTTAATTTTTGAAACTTAGAACATGATTCCCAGATTCAAAAAAAAAAACCCTGCATATTAACTAGCAAACAAAAATCTATTTAAACTTGAAGAGTATGTACCAGTAAAACTAATCAGAGATGCACCAAAATTCTGATGTTTCCAATGTTCCAATCAGCACTGAACCTATAAAATTAAGCCTCTGGCCTCTTCCGTGCCCATAGCTCTACCAAGTCTGCTCCACACTGTCCTGAATCCTGGTCCACCCAGGGCTGTGCCTGGTAAAAACTTAACCTTTCATGCAGGTCTCTATCTCCAGGGCATAAGGCAGTGACACGGGTGGTGCAAGGATGGAAATCATACTTGTGGAATGAATTAGCGAGCTAGGAGGTTCTCAGGATTAAGTGTTTTCTATGGCAATTGTGAAAAACAGCTCTGAGAATAGACAGCATTCCCAATTCTTACACTCTTGCTCTAGGTACTGCCAACAAGAATCCTTTTGTAAAGGTTAAAAAAGAAAAAACAGCAGCTCGGAGGCAGAAACAGGAGGATCGCAAGTTCAAAGCCAGCCTCAAATATGGTGAGACACTAAGCAACTCAATGAGACCCTGTCTCAAAATAAACTACAAAATAGGGCTAGGGAAGTGGCTCAAGTGGTCAAATGCCCCTGAGTTTAATACCAAAAAAGAAGAAGAAGAAGAAAAAGTTTAAAAACTCTGAAAAAGTTAAGAATCTGTAACCAAAGTTAATTAAATGCTACTAATCATCTCTTAGGAAAATCACTCATAATTTAAAATTCATCAGATAAATAAAAAAGAACTTTAGATAACATAATTTCTTGAAGGAAAGCCTTATTCAAATACAGAAAACCTGCCAGGTGCAGTGGCGCACACCTTTAATCTCAATGGCTCGGGAGACTGAGGCAGGAGAATCACAAGTTTAAAGCCAGTCAAAGCAAAGATGAGGTGCTAAGCAACTCAGTGAGACCCTGTCTCTATAAATAAAATACAAAATAGGGCTGGGATGTGGCTCACTGGTCAAGTGCCCCTGAGTTCAATCCCTGGTGGTAGTAATAATAATAATAATAATAATAATGAAAACCTAACCCTTACTCAGCAAAGACACAGTGCAGTCCTGTATAGGCTGTATCTAAATATCTATTTCTCTAGACATAATGCCACTTTCTTTTTCATTTTTTTGTTTTTTGTGTGTGTGGTGCTAGGGTTTGAACCCAGGGCTTTGTGCATGCAAGGCAAACATTCTACCAACTGAGCTATACACCCAGCTCACTTTCCACTGACTTCATAAGCATATTATAGGAATTGAGTAAGATGAGTTGTCAAAACACTCAAAAAATGAAAATTTCAATAAACTCCAGAAAGTCACACCATTTAGAAAATGACCCTCAATTTTCTCTCCAAGCTCAACTCTCCTTCCTTGATCTGGGGGTGACTGGAATGGCAGAATGTAGTCCCTGTCATCTCAATAGTACATGATTACAGCAACCCCACTCCCTGACCTAACCGGAGGTGTTTCAAAGTGGGAACGCTGAAAAGGTTGTCATGTTAAAGTAAATAGATTTTAGACCCGGTTTCATCTTACCCCCACAATTTCCTTTGGAAATCTCCCCTTTAGCCAGAAATTTCAACATTTTTTTCAAAACTTTCTTGTGAGATTTTGATGGCTGGAACTGTAAAGGTCGGCACCTACAAAAGCAAAACGAATATTTTTAAAGAAAACTAAAACTCTGAAGAAACAAAATCAATCTGGGTAGTACCAAGGACACTGAGGCCAATGTTATACATGGGATTCTGGTTAAAGATGGGGCTTAAGGAGCCTCTAATTCCACACTAAATTTCATTAATGCTATAGTGAGGAGAAAGGGGGGGAAGGAGGAAGGGGAAAAGAGAAAGGAAAACACATAATCCAAAGTTGAAAAAGAGAAGAGGAGAAACGCCAGAAGGGTAGGCAGAAGTACAGTGAGGACAGACAGTGACCAAAGAAAGCCGAGCCCTGATTTTCAAGGGCTCCCTCAGAGTCCATTTCCAAAGCAGTCAGCCATCAGATCCCTCCCTCCTCTGCACCCTTGACTTCCCCCTACACACGTAACTTTCAGGAGACCGCAGAGGAGGGGCCTCTGCTGCGGCCAGCACACTGACTGAAAACAAGAAGCTCAAACGAGGTCCACAGCCTGATCCTGAGCTCCCAACCCTGCCCCAGAACACCAGAGGGTTACTCTTTCTCTCCAAAGTATGATCAGACCTGACGACATACCACATGTTCCCCAACAGAAGAGCCCAGCCAGATCAACGAACCCGAGGCTCATAGAAAGTAAGCCCCGCTGGGGTGCACAGAATTTCCAGTGGAACACTGGAACCCTGAAGTCATCAGATCCTCCAGGACATCCGCTACTGTGTAGATAGGTATTCTAACAGGTGGCACAAAGTAACCAGGAGGTTTAGACTAAGCAGCAAAACCTTAAAAACTCCTCAGAAATCTCTATTTCTCTTTAGCTACCACAGCCATGGAGCAACAGGTATCCCCCCCAACACAAAACAGAAAATGGGCCAAAATAAAAGACCCTCAGAAGGAAGGACTGGTAAGAGAAATAAAAATTAAGGTAAAGACTTGGAAAATAAAGTTAAGGAAATTTCCCAAAAAATTCAGTAAAAATAGATGGAAAAGTGAAAAGAAAAATATTAAAGAAGCAGGGCATGGTGGTACATGCCAGTATCCCAGAGACTAGGGAGGCTAAGGCAAGAGGATCTAAAGTTTGAGGCCAACCTCAGCAACTTAAAAAGGCCCTAAACAGCTTAGTGAGACCCTATCACAAAATAAATAATAGAGAGGATTGGGGATGTGATCCAATGGTCAAATGCCCCTTGGTTCAATCCCCAGTACACTCCCAAAAAAGTCAGAGGACCAGTCCAAAAGGTCCAATATCTGAATAAAGGCACTTCAAAGAAAGACAAAGGAAGGAAGATCAACAAAATAATATAAGAAAATTTTCCCAAATTGAAGAATGAAAGGATTTCCCAGATCAGAAGGATCCCACTCCAGGCCATGTGCGATGGACGAAAACACACACACAGCCAAATTGTGTAACATCAGAACACTAAGGATGAAAGATCTTCCAAAGACAAAGGCACGAGAATCAGATGCCACGACTTTTGAACAACAGCACAACAACGAGCAAAGCCTTGAAGACTCCAGAGGAAAATTACTCCCATCTTACATATCCATACGCAGCAGAACTAAAAAGCCCTTCTGAGGAGTTAATTAAAACATTTTCAGACATGCAAAGTCTCAAAAAAATTTTTCTCATGTACTTTTTCTCAGGAAGCTTTAGAAGATGAGCTTCCCTAAAACAAGGGAATAATCAAAGAAAGAAGGCAAATAGATGAAATGGAGATTCAACTTGGAGCCAACGAGCATCCCCTAGATGATGATGACGAGAGATCCAGGATGACGGCACTGCAGCAAGCGTGAAGGGCAGGAGAGTGTCAGGAAGACGACGACGCAGGCACTAGCAACACATCTAGACACAAAAACGAGAAAAAGCACACCACGGAGAGGGTTTCAAAACACCTGGGAACAGGTACACTGAAGACTCTGCAAACAACAAAACCGTTAACTCCAGGGAAAGCAAGGAAACAGTCACAGAAGCCCCACAGCTCAGCTGGAAAGCACATCTATATGTTCATAACGCTGCGAACCATCCATCCAAAATCTTCATACTTCTAAGATGAGAGGCTGGGGGTGAGAAGAAAAAGGAGCCTGAATGTGGCAGTGGAACAGTAAAAGACAGCCAAATCCTCGTTCATAGGGAGAGGCCCTGCAAAAACGGGGGCCGGGGGGAAATGTCAGTATTATAATTAAATAAGCATGTTACTTAAAAAGATAGGGAGGTAAAAACCAAAAGAATCAGCTAAGGGCTGACAGTGATGGCCACAGAGAAATAGAAAAAGGGAAAGGAGGGTTTCAGGGACTGCTAGTCCAAAATAAGCTTTATGGGACCATCTGGACTTTATGAGTATGTATAATGCTTACAAAATTTTAAATTCATGTGCTAGGCAGGCAATCCCTAACCTCTGCCTCTCAAAAAGACAAACTGTAGCTGAGCACAGGGGCGTATGCCTATAATCTCAGCAGCTTGAGAGGATAAGGCAGGAGGATGGTGAGTTCAAAGCCAGCCTCAGCAACTTAGCGAGGCATTTAGAAACTCAGTGAGACCCGGTCTCTAAATAAAATACAAAAGAGGGTTGAGGTGTGGCTCAGTGGTTGAGTGCCCCTGAGTTCAATCCCTGATACAAAAAAAAGACAAGTTGTGAGATTTAACTTCCCTTCCTTAAGTTCTCATTGTAACTTCACAATGAACAAAACAGTCTAAATAGGAAGTATGAATAATGACTCCATAAGATTAAGGTATATAAAGAAATTCTGTAAAGAGCAACAATTCAGTTCAGGAAATGTTTGATTCCAGGTGAAATTCAAAAATCACATTTGGCAGTTAACTCAATTTCTTCTCATAAATGCAATACACCAAAAAGAGTGCTTTGCATGTAACAATTAGGTAATTTCCCTTTAACCAATTGAAAGCACCTTTTTCTTATCATAAAAATCCTCAGGGTATCTTGTTCATAATCCAGAAAGTGACTTCTGCCTTGAAGGATGTCATCTCCCCATAACCAAGAAAGCTGAAAGAGGATGGCAAAAGCTATGCTGTATTCTATTATATGTGAATAAATGAGACGGTGTCAGCAAACCACACACCAATCTTTTCTCTTTATCATCTGCCCATCTGATGTCCAGTTAGGTAAGAGAAAACTCTTCATTAGGAATCAGTGGACCATTGGGAGTCCATAATTATCCTAAAATTAAGACATGAAGGTGATATATCTGTGTCTATATGCCCCCAAGGCTTTTCTTTAAACAGAGAGGGGTTTGGGCTTTCACCAAATTCTCAAAATAGCCTACAACTCAAAAACAAGTTAACAGCAATTAAGGGAGGCAGGTGCAAAGACCAGACAAAAAAATGGGGAGATACAATTGTGATTTTTTTTAATCCAGAACATATTTACACATTGAAACTGAGGACAAATACATACTCAAAAGCAGTTTCATATTTTCTACAAAAAAGAAAAGTTTGTTTGTTTTGGTACTAGGAATTGAACCTCTACCACTAAGTTACATCCCCAGACCTTTATTTACTTACTTATTTATTTATGAAAGGGGAAAAGGAAGTTTTACTGCTTTCTAGCAAAGGATAAACAGGGGACTCCTGTCCCAGAGGCTGATTCTGCCCATCAAGGGGAACAGGGGTTTCAAGTGGTGATTCAAAGGCTTCATTCCAGGTGCTCTCTGTCTGGAGTTGTAATTCACTTGTTAATTTGTGAGACAGTCATTTCTTAGATATTTTGGTGCCATCCTCAAAATCTGAATTACTTCGGTCCTGTGGTGGGTGTGTGCTCAAGGACAGATAACTCTGCCTATGATGAGAAGAAATGAATCCTGTTTGTCCTAAGATCAGGGAGGAGGACTTTTATTTTTCATTTTGAGACAAGATTCGCACTAAATTGCAGAGGCTAGGACTGAATTTGTGATCCTCCTGCCTCAGCCTCCCAAGGGGGATTAGGAGCATGTGCCACCACACCTGGCAAAAAAAGGCCTTTATAATCTGAAAAGGAAAAAAATTCTTCTGTGTTGTAATGAGGTGGGAGGGCACATAGGAAAAGATCCAAAAGGGCCCAAAAGGTTATGAAAAAAAATCAAGAAATAGACTTTTTGGTTTAAATCTTCCCTGTAAGAAAAGTAGGCTCTGTATATGGCAGAGTGGAGTTATGCCCTCCTAACTACTACAAGATCCTGTGGTTTGACTGACTATAAACACAGCGGAGCAACAATAGAATATGGAGATTCCTCTGCTAAGTCCTATAAAAATTTGGTATCTAAAAGTATTTTGAATATTTACCAATATTCACAGCATCCACTAATTAGAATGTTAAAAATAAAGCAATGAAACATTTTCTTACATCTTATTTATATAAGGATCAATTAAGCTATTATTAAAAGTTATTGGTTAACATATAAATAATATAGCATCAGTATTCGAAAAGACATTTGTTTTTCCTTATACTATCTACCTAAATTCATAATAAAAAAGCATAAGATTCTGCTTTAAAATAGCACATAGTCTTCCCATGATAGATCCCCTTACCTTATTGTATACTGAGGACAGCATGTCTGATTCATGACAGGTTTATACACATACTTCCCGCTTCTAAAATTATAAAAAGTTTGTTAATTTCTTACACTGTTCACATGGGCCAAAACAGGTTAGTACAAGAACACTAAATTAAGAGTAAAACTTTAGTGATTAGTATAAAAACGTATTTAGGTTTAATTGCTCTTCAAAACCAAAATCATCTTGCAAGTAGGTATACCGAGCACCAGAAGCCAGCCTTCTCCTTCTCAAACCTTTACATATTTACAGCAAGGTGAACTGCCTCAATTACCTTCTCACCAGCACCTGCCATCCCATCCCTTCAATGCCTTTGCCTACCACCAATACCCCAAAACCATAGGACAATGAAAGAAAACCACTGGTGATGAGGTGGGACTGATGGACACCACCACTGTGAACCTCGGCATGGATGATCACAAGCATAAAATACCACAAACTAAACTCTCTCCAGGCATCCCAGACCCCAGCCAATGGCAGAACCACTCATTCAGTTCTCGAGCCAGAAACCTGTCGATCTTTTTAGACTATCCCCTCTAACTCACCTCTGTATCTTATCAACAAGCCCTCTAGAGCTAAAATGTGCCTCTTCCCCTCCATCTCCACTGCCATTAACACACAAGTCCTTGTCATTTCCTATCTGGATAGTGCAATAATTTCTGCTTCCTGCCTCCATGATCACCTCCTTAAACTCCTCTCTGCCATCTGAATGCTCTTATTCAAATCAAATTCCGTCATGTATGTTTCTTAAAATTCTTCATGGTTCCCCTCTACCTTAAAAAATAATAAGGTTCCTTATCATGGCATAAAAAATCCTCAACTTCTGACCTAAACCTCCCTCTTGAACTTCATAATTAAAGTCATTAACATTTTAACTGATATGCTTAATCCCATGTCTTTGGAGAATATATTACTTAGACTACTTAATGTTGCTTATACTTACATAAGAAACTTTATCTACAAGTTACTTAAAAATCATCTCTAAAAACAACTACTCTACAAAAGCAATGAGTAACCCTTAATGGAATTTTTAAAAAATAGATTTTGAGACAATCTAGAAAATCTAGATTGGGGAAAGGTAAAATGAAAGAACTATTAATTTTATAAAGTGTGATAAAGGTATTGTAGGTATGTTAAAAAGGAAAAAAATCCCTTCCCTCTTAAATATACATTATTTATTATGAGTATATGGATATGCTATCTGTAATAATAATTTAGGCGTAATTTGCTGTGAAGTGTTTTGAGACTGGAGACAGAGGAAGCGATGAGAATGGATGAAACAAGACTGGCAGAATTTTACTAACTTCTGAAGCTTAGTGATAGATACATGAGGTTCTACTTCTCTGTTTACTTGAAATTTTCCTAATATTTTTTAAAAACAAAATAACTACATAAAAGAACAAACACCTTATTAAACCTCTTTCTAACAAGAAAATATTCTAAAGGCAAACTTTTTATAAGAAGTACCTGAAAAACAGCAGAAAGTATCTTTGTATTAAAAAACTTTACCTTCGCCATCCTCGATCTATAAGGTCTTGATAATCCTGTACTGTCAGAGAATGTGCCCACATGCCTGAAAAAAATAAGACGTGTTAAATTCAGCAGGGTTAAACTTCCTTCCTGTTAAAATTCAAAGTGTTAATTTTTAAAATATGGCCATTTAGGCTAAAATTCTAGAACACTCACACAGGAGAAAAATACTGCATACTTCATACTCCTTAGTGTGGCATATATGCAACACAAATTAAAAATAAGATATATTTATTTTAATTAAAAAATAAAATACATAAAAGTAATGACATCAAATTGAGGATTAGTCAATGGTCTCCATGTCATCATAAATGTAGATCCTTACTGCAATCAGACTAGAACACAGCTCCAAACTTTAATTATGTCACCAATGGTTTAATACACTAGTCTCTGTAGAATATTCAGCGAAAAATATTGTGCATATTAGTTCTAATTTATATATACACACACACAAACACACACACACAGCTCAGCACAGTCTTAAATACTAAAAATAGGGCAAAAGTATGTAGCAATATTCTCTCTTAAGTGAAAAACTAACCCAAATGCTGAGGATACCAAGAGATGATTACAGGAACTATGAGATGATCAAATTAAACTATGGGGGAAAAGTAACTAACATTTAAAGGTATATTCGAACTAAGGTTAAAAGAGAAATGGAGCTGGGCATGGTGGTGTATGCCAGTAATCTCAGCAACTTGGGAGGCTGAGGCAAGAGGATCGCAAATTTGAGGCCAGCCTCAACAAGGCCGTAAGAAATTTAGGGAGACCCTGTCTCAAAATAAAAATTTTAAAAATAGTTGGGGATGTGGTTCAGTGACAAAGTGCTTCTAGGTTCAATCTCAATCCCCAGTACCAAAAAGGGAAAAAAGGAGGGAAAGAGAGAGAGAAATGGGGAGCAGGGTATAGTGGAGCCAATAATACCAGCTGAGGCAAGAGGACTGAAAAATCCAGACCAGTCTGGGCAACATAATGAGATCCTGTCTCAAAAAAAAAAAAAAAGAGAAGTGGATTTTTTCCTTTTGTGAATAGTAAACTGTACCAGAGATATGTCAAGATAGAGATAGGCCTGACAGAGCAAAGTGAAGCAGGAAAAAGCATGGTACACAAGCCCAGCAAAAATGTCCAGACACCTAGCAGGCCCTCACTAATACCAGAATGTTTCTCTGTAACCTCTATTTCCATCCTCTGTAAAATGGGAATAATCATGCCCACCAACACAACAAATATGTGCCCTACAGTAATGGGTAAACTAAAATTGAAATGATAGAAATGTATACTGATGTCTCTAGATGAAAAGGTTGAAGGCAGGTTTCTTCCACAAAACTTGAAATAGACATTTATCTTGGCCAATTTTCTCTTACTAAAATTACTGGGAAATAACTAAGGCCCTAGCAAAATATTAATTTTAGGTATGTTTAATATAACTTACTGATGATATAGATATTAGAGTCACAATACAAAAATCCTCAAGAAAGAGAAGGATGGAACCTCTATCACTCGAAGGCAACCACTGCCACTATTTGCTGTGCTTCTCCTCTCAGAGCTGTCATGTCACATATGCCTTTGGCATCCGGTTTTCTCCCTTTAACCCTCCTTTTAAATGCTGTCCCGTTTCTACAGTGCTCAGTTATTCCCTGGATCATGGCGTCTGCCCGACACGGCAGAAAATAAACAGGATGGTTGGTGCCTTCCCCGAGAGACCTGAGTCACGAAGAAGGACAAGACAGCGGACTGACTTGGGTGTCCTCGCCCGGGTGGGTGGAGGAATGACACAGCACGCGTCCCAGGCAAAGTGTCAAACACCCAGACGAACGCCCCCGCCGTCCTGGCCGCAGCCACGGGCCCCAGGCGTCGCACCCAGGCGCCACCAGGGAGGCTGCAACGGACTGCACACACCTGCCGCGCCGCGCGCCGCACCAGGCCCCCGCCTGCCCCGCACCCCGTTTGCACGCTCGGGGGAGCGGGTCCCAGCTGCAGCTCAGCGCGCCCGGCCCCGCAGACGGGCGTCCGGGCTAGGCGAGGGCGAGCCCGTCCCCGCCCGTCTGGCGGGCAGGGGCTGCCTGGGGTTTCCCGGGACGCGCACCAAGCAGCTTCGCGGCCGAGGCTGACGGCGTCAGACGTAACTGACAGCCACAGCCCCGGGGGGCCGCGGCCCAAGGCCGGCCAGGAGCTGGTCAGGGGCCCGGCCGCCCCGCGTCCCCCAGACAGGTCCGCCAGAACCCCGGGCCGCGGCGCTCGGCCTCCCGCTTCCGCCTCGCTCACCATTGGAGCGACTGCCCGACTCGTTCTTGCAATAGCCGCAGCGATAGAAGTCCTCGCCCTCGAAATACTCTACGATGCTAGGCGACAGCGCGTTCCAGGAAGCCATGGCCTCGGCCCCGCAAGCACTGCGCGGCCCGGCCCAACGCCGCCGCCGTTGCCGCCACCCCACAATGCAGCGCGCCGCCCAGGAGCCTCCGAGGCTCGCGCGAAGCCACTTGGGCACCCGCAGGCCCGACGCGGCCGGGCGCCTGGGGGGCTGACGCCGCCCGCGCCATCTTGACCGAGGGCAGCTTTCCGCTATTTCCGTTCCTTCTCCGTGAGGCGCCGCGGTCGTTCGTGAGGGTGAAGCGGAGAGATGGAGCGCGAGTGGAAACGGCTGAGAAGAGGCCAGCGGCAGCGGGGAGCCGGAGCCGCTCCCCGCGCCAGGGGCCGCCGGAGCGCGGCGGAGGCCGGCGAGCGTTGTGCGCGAGGCGGCCGGATGGACGAGGCACTCACCGCAGGACGCCTTGCCCTCCTCGGAGTCGCAGTAGCCGCAGTGGTAGCCGGCCTTGAGCCCCTTGTACTCCACCACCGAGGCCATGGCCGCCGCCCGTGCTGCGGGCGGCCACGCCTCTCGGCGCCCGGGGCCGGGCTCGGAGGGCGCGGGGCCCGCGGCGGGGAGCGCGGCGGCCGGGGGGCGGGGGCGGGGGCCGCGCAGGGGCCCGCGCCGAGCGCCGGCCCGCAGCGCGGGAAGCGGGGCTCCGGGCCTCCCTCACCCGCCGCTCTGCGCGGAGCTCAGGCGAAAGCTCCCTCCCAGGCCGCCCTTCCACCGCGCGGAAGCCGGCTGGCCGCGGTGCTCCCGGTGCAGGTACAGAAACGGGCGTTCTGCCATCGGTGAGAGCCCGGACGGCGGAAGGCTGGGCCGCAGGAGGAAGCCGCTGTCAGCCGGAGTCCGTGGCCCCTACGGCCTTTGAAGAGAAGCCATCAGTCTAGGTTGTGTGGCGTGTAAACAGCCAGGTTCGGTTCGCTGCAGGCTGCAAGTCGGCTGACCTGGTAGCCAGGGTCCATCGTCCTGAGTCTAGGAGATTAGTAATTAGAGTGCTGTTAGGCTTGTTGATGCAATTGCTTGGCTGAGAAAAATGCGAGGAGGCAGCTTCTGTGGATCGTGGATTTCCGTTATTAATTAGGATGGGAATAAGAGCCGGTGTGCTGATTCCCGCAGTGCACGACGGCAGTGCACTCCTGTAGTTCCAGGGACTCAGGAGGCTGAGGCAGGAGGATGGCAATTCAAGGGCAGCCTCAGCTATTTAGCGAGGCCCTAAACAACTTAGTGAGACCCTGGCTCAAAAAATAAAAAGGAGTGGAGATGTAGCTCAGTGGTTTAGCACCCCTGGGTTCAATCCCATTACAAAAAAAAAAAAAAGTGTATATATTTGTGTATTCGCTCGCTCGCGCGCTCTCTCTCTCTCTCTCTCTCTCTCTCTCTCTCTCTCTCTCTCTCTCGGACTTATTTCTAGTCTTACTCAGATGAGAAGTCAATAAGAACTAAGCAGGGCAATTATAGTTCCTGAGAATAAATATAATAGTAGAGGAGGTTAGGGGGTTAATTAGTACCTAAACAATAAAGAACGTTTTTAGATTGTGGGCCACATAGCTTATTTACTGACCTTTCTAGAAAACCGTGGTATACTAGATTGCAGGAAGAATTTGGGATTCTTAGGATTAGGTTCAAGTCCAATAGTTCTAGAAATATGAGGATTTGAACCTCATGATTTACTCAAAGTAACTCATTTGTCAGTTTGTGGAGAATGCTTCTTATAATAAGCATAAAGATAATGTTATAAGGCTAGAGTGTAAGGTAAAAGAAATTTTTCAAACTAAGTATAGAAGTTGATCATATCAGAATTAGGGTAAGATTCTTGAATTCATGGGAATACTGAGGTCAGGATTAGTTTTTTGGTTTTTTGTTTTGTTTTATTTTTAGTTGTCAATGGACCTTTAATTTTTTTTTATTTATTAATATGTGGTGCTGAGAATCGAACCCAGTGCCTCACACATGCTAGGCAAGAGCTCTGCTACTGAGCCCCAGCCCCAGGATTAGTTTTAGTAATAAAATCTAGAGTAAAGGTTTCAGGTATTAGGGGACTATAAAGTACTCGTAGAAAAAAAAATTGTTGTTAAAGCATTTATCATAATAATAATGGTACACTCAGCTAATAAAAAGGGTGAAAGGGCCTGCAGCATATTCAGACTAAATGACCCAATTTTTAGTAAGACTTTTAGAATAATAGCTAGGATTACTTTATAAGAGTGTGTTTGTGTAAAGCTTATAGGGCTCTAATTAATGCGTATTTAAGATTAGTCTCATCCTGATCATAATAGCATAGACAGGCTTGATGCGGCAAGAATAACAAGGCAATATTCCTTAATCTTTCCCCTTTGTGCACAGATAATAAGCCTGTCAGGCCTCATGTTTCCCCTGTCAACAGTAAAGCTGATTCTTTTTTCGGTGTTTTAAATTAAAAGTAAATTCGTGAGGGCTAGGGATACAGCTCAGTGGGTAGAGTACTTGTCTTGCATGCACAAGGCCCTGGGTTCTAACCCCCAGCACCATACAAAAAAAGTTAAAATCTTGAACCACAGAAAAACAGAAATAAACTCGTGAGGTCAGTTTTTCATTCTTGGCTCCGGGTCTGCCACATTAAGAGATGTGCCAAGGTGAGTTCAGGTTCTCGGCTTGGTGCTTTAGGCTATTAAGTATCATTTGTACCTCACAGTTGAAAGGCCATGGGTATGCAGGGGCTTCTCAGGCCCCTCAAGGTTTCTTATGATAAATGTTTTAACATTTTTCCTCTGCCTCTTTAGAGTTGAAGACTTGTTGCTACATCTCAGTACCCATGTTCTTATAAAAGGGTTTTTGGTTTGGGGGTTTTTTTTGTGGTATAGAAGCACTTTACCACTGAGCCACATCCCCAGCTCTTTTTATTTATTTTTTTAAATATTTTTATTAGTTGTTGATGAACCTTTATTTTTTTATTTATTTATATGTGGTGCTGAGACTTGCCTCACACATGCTAGGCAGGCGCTCTAACATTGAGCCACAACCCCAGTCCTTTATTTTTATTTTGAGATGGGATCTCACTAAGTTGCTGAGGTTGGCCTTGAACTTGTGATCCTTCTGCCTCAGTCTCCTGAGCCACTGGGATTACAGGAATGCACTACTGTGTCCAGCTCTCCATTTTGTTCTTTATAGCAGGTTTGATTGATTGCCAGTCTTTTTATGGACAGATTCTCCTTTTGAATGACAGCAAGAGCCTGTAGAGTGAAACAGCAGAATGCAATGCTCGGGGCAGAAGTTAGAGGCTAGGAGGCTTTTTGTTCTTATATAGCAGTCCCTACCTAATCTTTGGTTTCTCTTTTCTTAATTTCAGTTACTCATGTTCAACCACAGTCCAAAAATAATGAATGTAAAATTCCAATATAATTCATAAGTTTTAAATTGCACACTGTTCTGAGTAGCATGATGAAATCTCCTCTTGTCCCACTCTGTACTACCTGAGTCATCCCATTGTCCAACAGATCCATACTGTATATACTGCCTATCTGTTAGCCACTTGGTAGCTGTCTCAATTATCAGATTGACTGTTAAGGTATTGCAAAGCTTATGTTCAAATAACACTTATCTTACTTAGTGATGGCCCCAAAATGAAATAATAGTGATATTGACAATTTGGACATGCTAAAAATAAGCCATAAAATACTTAAGTTCTTGACTTAATAGGAAAGAAAAAATTTAAGTTGAGGTTCTAAGATCTACAGTACAATAAAATATTTTGAAATATAACTTTTTAGTGTATTATAATTATCCTATTTTTAGTTATTATGGTTAATCCCCTATACTCTATCTAATTTATAAATTAAATGAAATCATATATATATGGAAAACAGTAATTTATAGGGTTTAGTCATTACAGCTTCAGGCCTCCACCAGGGATCTTGAGTAAGGGACACTTATTCAAATAAGGAACACTACAGTATTCCTGTCTCACTTCATTTCTAACCCATCAAAATCTCAACCTTATGCCAAAACCATCTTCAGCCAGTGTACTCCAGAGCATGCCAGCCTTGAACAATAGATATGTGTGTTAATTTACCTAATCCTTACAGAAATTTTATAAGACAGTAAACATAAACCAGAGAGGCCGAATAACTTGCCAAAGGTCACCTAACTAGTAAAGGCCATATGATAGGAGGAAGAAACAGTAATAAAAATTAAAAACTGAAGAGGAAACAACATCAATAAATACTAGGTTTAGACCTACATACAGAATGTATTTTGTTAAAGGTCAGAGACAGTTTCATCTTCCAGACCCAAATGAGGGGAAAAA